GCTGAGGAACGCACGATCGAAGACTAGAAAAGAGAAATGTGAGGACAGCTCTACTCTGAAACAAAAAACTGTGGATAAAATGGTTGATGATATAAAAAGGGATAAGGTTGGGACTAGTAATATGATTAAAAGTACTAATATCCTTAAGGCTCGAGCAGGGGGGAGGCAAGAGTTGGAAGGAGTGGATGGAGAGGTCGAATCAATGATGATAGCCACAACACCCTCGAGCAGAGATGTGAAGACTCGCAAGAGGAAGAGAGAAGTGGAAGGATGGGGTAGTCCTTCAGTGGATGCTGTTTCGGAAGGAAACTTGAGAGAGACGGCGCCCATCGTTTTGGCTCGATGCAAGAGGGCGGCATACAAGAACAGCTCGGAGCTCAGGAAACCAGTTGAAGTAGAAAAGGAAATAGAGGTTTCCGCCAGTTCGACGTCAGAAGAAGACTTCAAGCCTCAGAAGGTAAACGTGAAGAGAGGTTCAACGAACGGACAGGTAGGGGAAAAGGAGATCGGCAAAGAATGGATCTCGAAGGCACATCAGGACATGGGCAAACAAGTGACGAGTGATCCATTGGAGAGGAACAAGACGAGGAACACTTCCCGGACGTGGTGGGTGGCCCTCGAAACATTGAAGGAAATGGAGGACTGCTTGAAGAAGTTGGACAGTGGAATAGCTCGCAGGCGACGCAATTGGGCCACCCAGCAAAAAGCCGAGGTTAATAAGATAGAGATGGCAAGTCATCTGAAGAGGTCCTGGCAGAGTTTGTTGAAGGATCATTTTGAAGAGGCGATGAGAACATCCTCATCAGCACCGCCACTAATGGCGAATCCCTTCGTTAGAACTGCGGGACAATTAATGTTCACCTGGAGTCTGGTGGGAATAGAGTTGGAGACATTGACCTCGTATGACAGGCTGAAGTTGGGAAGCAAGAAGCTAGAGGTGTATCAGGCACTGATGCAACACGTGGCCAGGGACAATTCAGGCTTGAGCCTGGCTAGAAGAAAAGATGCCACATGTTTCTTGAGATGGATAATGTCAATGATGTCTGATAGCACCATCCTGGCATGCCACCAGAGAGCAAGTGGAAGTAAAACCATGGAGAGAAGAGTCTCAACGATCATCTTGAACGTATATCAGAGTACAGGAATAGAGAAAGAAGATGGTTCCAGACTATCCTTAGAGAACCATCGAAAGCTGGACGAGGTACGGAGGTTCTCTAATAAGAAGTTCGAGGAAGAACATGATGTTCACCGTAACCTGGCCTCGTCAGAACAGTACTCGAGACTCAGTGAGAAGGGGGAATACCAATATGTGTCTGGAGTGATGGGAATAGCCTACAATCCCTTCTTAGACTCGGAAGCTGGAGGAGCCCACAGAAACCATGAGGTAGCGGAGCTACTGAAGTTTTGGACAGAAAGAATAATGGAAATAGACGCGGTGGAAAAAGAGGGGCCGAGCCTGGGCCTGATTCTTGAGAAAACACCAGAGGTGATAAGCATACCGCGCTCAAACAAGAGAGTTGAAGTGAGCATGGGCGGTGGAAATGGCTTGTTAACCACGAACTTGGGAGTGATATGGAAGCTACTAAGACCCTCCTGGTGTCCACATCCCCATGCGAGTCTAATCGAGGAAACCACCGAGCGAGTGAGGTTAGCACCAACGGAAGATGAAGATCTGGCGAAGTTGAGTGTGCTACATAAGCTAATCACGCCCCAGATGCAAGAGCCAAGCGAAAGGACGAGCGACCCCGGGTCAGCAAAGAAATTGGAGCCGGGTAGCTGTCTGGATTCGACGTGTGGGAACGGAGAGCACATCTGCGATGGACGGTCATGCGTCAGAATACTGTCGTTTCAAAAAGAAGACCTGGTCACTTGGTTCGAAGACATCACAGAAAGGGAGAAAAGTGAAGTGCAAATAATAGCGGAATGTTACGCGAGAACCACGGTGAATATAGCGACAGCTCTCGGATTCTTCTCGAGAATGTGTGGTCTGCAGGCACTGGAGAGACTGGAGTCTGAACATCATTTAGTGACGGCGTTGAGCGTAGAATCATGGCCCGGGGTGTTGCAGGTGACTCAAAAACACATCCGGAGCTGGAAGGTTGGTCTTGAGGCGGAAATGGGATTTCCCATGAGCGAAACTTATGGCTTGCCATTGAACGCGAAATCGCTGATAGGGTCAATGATGGCCAACTTGTGCGGAAGTCACTACCCGCTACACATGGCGATGGTGGAAGCGTCCGGCCAGAGAATACTGGTGGACAAGGCCTTCTCAGTGCCCAAGTGCGTGAGGTTGGCTCGGATGTCGCATCACTCGCACAAGTTGTTGAGAAAAATCAAAGGGACAGTACCAAAAGAATTGGGAGATGACTTAAGCGAAATCTGGGGAGAAGATCTTCTGAAGTTGGAAAGAGAAAACACAAGCGATCACGAGAGACAAAACGTGATCGGGAAACCTGTGGGAAGTACTCCGAACCTGGAGGATAACGACACGATGCACGAGAAAATGATGGAGCTTGAGCCTCTCTTGGAAGCCTCAGGGGAGCGTAATCTCAGGAGCATTGAGATCTCTCATGGGGAATGCCCATGCCACTGTTTGGCACAAACGGTGTGGTATCCAGATCACAAGAACCTTTGCCTGGTGTGGGATGTGGAAGAGATTCGGTCGATCGGACTACCGGATCACCGGCAGAAGGTGACGCTCTTAGTAGTGAGTACGATGTTAGCTCTGAGATGGATAGAAGAGAATATAACGAAGTATCGGGAGGCGACGACGCCAACGGCTGAGTCAATATACGCGATAGACTACAGCAGGAGACTCGAGTTGTTTGAGACTGCGTGCAAAGTATTCGCCATACCGACGGAAGTCAGGCACGTATGGAGTCGCTTGAGGTACTTTCCATGGTTTCGGGCGACACTGACGTCTTGGTTGTACATGACAACAAAAGATCACATGAGAAAACATCAAAAAGAGTATCGACAGTTCCAGGCCGAAATTGGGCCGGAAGCTTTCAAGAGACCCCTGCTAACCCATCGTAATGCGATCACGACAGGATGGAAAAGAGTGGGTAAGATGTCTAGAGACAATACCAAAGCGAGGGAGTCGATACTAGAGGAAGACCTGGCGAAGAACGTGAGCTTGAGCCTGCACAACTCCTTTTGCTTGAACCGAGAAGCTAGGGTGAAGGCACTACCCAACCAAGCAAAGAGGTTGCAGGAGCAGAGAGAATGGATGCGAGCCTATGAACAGCTGAAGGCTTGGGAGGAGATTGTGATTAGTTCCGATGATGAAGAGGAACTGTTGAGACAGTTTGCCGCATCTAGCACTTCAGGATGCAGTACCTCCAAGGCGAAGAGTACGAGATGAATGGGCAAATCGGATGGATCTTGAGTCTTGAGAGGGAAGGGGGGCTTGAGCGTGGATCCGAGTGAAACTTGGATTCACGAAAAAGAAATTTTAACAAAGCAAATATTGTTACTAATATACTATATTTATTATATAAATCGAAATGCTGCATGACAATTTCCTGATTGAATAGGACAAAAGAGATTTTAAAATGATTGGCTTGAAAAGCGAAAATTCAAGGGTGCAGGTGTATGCAGATTTTGGTTGCTGTTTAGCAATAGTGTGAAAATTTTAAATGGCTGTGAATTTTGGGGTGTAGATAAGCTTAAATCTGCTGCAAACTTCTGTAAATGACCACTGGCACTGTATCTTGAGTAACACTCGGTTTTCTGGGACTCACTGGCAGAAGACAGCACGCGATGAGGACATCGATCTCGAGTCCGGGGAGTATGTGCCAGTCGGTCATATTTGGAAGTTTGACCTTGAGAGGAGCAAAAAACACTTGATTTTGGAGTGAAATTTAATTTTTCAAAATTTCGAATGGAACCTGTCATGCACGATTTTCTCGCGAGAACTGAAAATCAGAAAAAGAAATCAGAACAATTTCAGAACAATTGAGACACACGCGCGGGAAAGTCGTAAGAAAAAGCAGTAGGAAATTGCTATTCGCAATTTCCATCACTATAATAATCGAGAGTAGAGCTGTCCCATCTGTGACAGAGACGAGAGCATTCCCTCGAATTGGATTATAGCGACTGGAGTATTATTCGGAACTGGACTAGAGTGAACCTTCGGTGGAAAGGTGGACAGCTTGAGTGTCCTAATGGTTCACAAGAAAAATATTGTCTAGAGTATAAACTCGTTCTCATTTGTCAAAACTATAAAACATTAGACTCATTTAGTTACGTTATTTAATTCTTGAGTTAACTACCGACTGGATTATTTCCCACTTCTTGAGCGTGCTACTATGTGAGTACAAATTTAAATTCCTAGAGTGTGTTTTATAATTGTTATGTTGAGGTAAGGCGAGTTTTAGGTTGATCCATCTGAAATGGATCAAAGTTCCACTGTCTAATAAAAAGTAACTTAACGGATTGTTCCAACCCGGTTTTTAACGGCGTTCATGTATTTTGGGTATCTAGAGACCTGAGTATGGGGACGTTATTAATTCTAGAGTGGGGGGATATTTTAGTAGTAGCCTTTAAGCTGTAACGGGTCGTAGTCTCATGTCACAAGCGAACCGAATTGGCTCCGACTGATTTGAGGTACAAAAACACAAGAGATAGTGTCCCTGACTCTTGAGCCAATGGTTATAGGGCCTATTTTTCTTAAGCCTCATGTGTGACTGCAGTAGACGAATGTTACATGTCCTTGGACTTGACTCTCTTTTTCTTTCCTGTCTGCCAGCTTGCAATGCTTTTTTGTGATCTCACAAGTGATGCGAATCTCCGCTTCGCCTCTGTGTATAATGCTTGTATGACCCTATGTAGTAGCTTGTGTATTGTTTCAAGGGACAGGGCCCTTTTTTAAATTGACCTCTTTTTGAATAAGCTAAGTGAAAAGCATATGTTATATGTTACTCTGCTATATGACAAACCAACCTGAAAGAAACCCCTAACTGACCAAGATATAATGAAAGTTTTTCAACAAATGTTTTTAGAAATGTAGTTCAATGAGCGGTCATCAATCTGATAAGGACAATTTTGGGGAGCCGAACAATAATGTGGCAGACTATTTCATGGAAATTGGGCTTCCGGAATCGTTCACGGAGAGCGAGGAAACAGAAAGCAGTCGTCAGATTCCTGTCAAATATCCAATCATTGCTATAGCGTGTACGGTGCTTACCAAATGTACATGGCTTTGCCTTAGCAGCCCTGATTTATTATAGTCGTTGTAACTAACGTAACATGTTGATTTTTTTTATCAGTGCTGAGCCGTTTCAAAAAGTGAAATTAATTTTAACCCGTATTTCCAGGTTTTGGATTTTTTTTGCAAATAAAATTGAAAAAGCTGATGTAAGTTGCACCAACGAAGGTTTTTTCTAGCTGCGCATCTGTTTTAGTAATTTTCCCAACCCAAGGAGAGACTGTTCCTGAAGGATGGGAGTGTATAAGAGTATCGCCGAGTGGGTTCCCAGCTGACTTGAATACTAGCGCGCTTCGTGGTCAATCGGTTTTCCTGTGCTATAAGCGAGCCACCAGTTTGAACTTCACAGAACAACCTTTAACTGATATTGGGTATGATTTTAAAATTTCGCCAGAAAGATCCTTGTGTTTAACAAGAATAGCCGGTTACTGTGCAAGTAGCCCAGAATGTTTCGACCATAATCTTTAAAAAATACAAGAATAAAAGGAGCTGAACGAGAAAATAGAGATTAGGCACATTCAAAAGTCATAGTAAAAAAGCTAATTGCAAAAAACAGTTTTTATAGAAAAATGTCTAGAAATTTTTTTTTTTAAATAAAAAAGTCGATTTTTTTCTGCATTTATTAGAATTTTCAAAGTTTTGATATCAAAAACGCGCCAAAACACAAAAAAAAACTTTACTTAAGTAAAACTAAGTTTTTACGGCTTTTAAATTAAGCTGTTGTAAGCTTTATTTTAGCCATTAAAATAGGGTATTGCAAGCCTGCTCGCTTGCTCTTTTCATTCGCTCGAATTAAGACGAAAAATCAAAAACTTCAAACTGATTTTTCTCGTCACTGGGAAATTTTTGTTCTAATAACGACCGAACGGGCTCTTATGTGATGTATCACTCAACTCTCTCCGATGATTATTTGTGGTTGCTGATTTTGCGTTGAGAAAAAGAAAAAACTGAAACACACCCGATTACAAAGTTTCTCACGAATACAAAGTTCCTCCGCATTTTTCAAACGGTCGGAACAATGACTTAAAATAAACTAAATTTGACAATGTCCCATGAAGAAAAGGAGTTAACATGATTTTTATTTTTACTATATTATTACAACAGCGATTAGCAAACGTTATGATTCCTGATATTCAACTTGAGCTCAACCATTTTATTAGGAAGGAGCTATGGTGTAGGATGTTCTTTTCTTCCTTAATTTGACTTAATCAAAGGAAACCCAAAGGAGTGAAATTCCTGTTTGATAAAAACAGGTATTATGAACATGTATGGGATCGGGTTTTTTTGAGACGCTTTGGAAAAATTTTTCACTTTTTTAAGAGTAATGAACGTAGTGACTACTCTTTTATAGGTCTTGCTGATTTTTTTTGTTTTTTTTTTCAGGAAAAAGTCTAAAATTTGTTCAGGCTCAGTTTCGATTTTTCGCGGTTTGACTTGTGATTTCTTTTTAAGTTCAGTTCGTTTCCATTGTTAAAAGGAAGGCAAACTCCACTATCGAACAGCAAAAGTCTAAAGATCACAAAAAACGTGATCGAATCCTGATTTCGAAAATGGAAATTAATCACACAGTAAGTTCATTTTAGCAAAAAAGTGTTCATAAATTGTTCTACAAATTCAAAGAGCATTAAGGCCATCTATTTTTTCTTCGAAATTCAAAAGTTGAAGGCTCTTGAAAAAACAGTCAGTTTTTTTTTTACTTTCCTTACGTTCATTAGTCTTTTCCAACTGTTAGTTGGTTATGTTTCAAAAATTTATTTTTTCTTAAAACTACTCTACCGATTTTCAAAAAAGTGGTACCAATGGGAAGTGCGCCCACTCCTCTGTGTGCCTGCATAATCCCTATTTTAACCCATATTTCTTAACGTTTTTCCGAAAACTACCCTCTCAAATCTGAGATTTTGGTTTAAATGGATAGAACAGGTTGTGTGAAGCACCCCTGCATTAGCGGCTTCGCCCACACTTGTCTACAAAAGAATTAGGGTCCTTAAAAAATCATTATTTTCGATTTTTGACCGTTTTTGAAAATTTTTGACGTTTCTCGAAAACTACCCTCCCAAATGCGAGATGTTAATTTCAATCTAAAGGAAGTCTTATGTGGACCTCACCTGCGCAAACTGTTTCGCCCAAATTTTTTGACACAAAAATTTATGACCCTCGTAAAAGTCAAATTTTCGATTTTTTGACTGTTTTTTGAACATTTTAAACTTTTCTCGAAAGCTACCCTCCCAAATCTGAGGTTTTGGTTTCAATGAGTAGAACGGGCTGTGAGAAGCTCCGCTGCACAAATTATCAAGCTTATTTTTTTGCAAAAAACTTAAGACTCTGAAAATTCGTTTTTTGATTTTTTGACCTTTTTTAATTTCTTGATTTTCTCGAAGGTTATCCTGCCAAATCGAGTTCAAAAAAATTCACTCTTTGTTATTTTTTAAGAGTACCAACTAAAGTTTTGGGTGAAGCCCAGTTTGTGAAATTACCCTTGTCCTTCGGAATCAGTACAACAAATTATCAGACTGGTTTTTCCAGCTTTAGCTGGCCTCTAGTGTGGTACCATTTCAAAGGTCTTGGTGTTGAGAAAAACCTGTGAGTAATTTTTTTTGACTTTCAGCCTAAATTAGACATTTTGCGTAAATAATGATCGCCTACATTTTTGCTGTTTTTATTATTTGATTTCAGCTGTTTTTACCAATCGTTTTAGCGGGGAGATAAGATTAGAAAGTTGTTTTTCGATTTTTCTCTACAATCATTATGTTCGGAACATTCTGTGCTACTTGCCCAGCAACTGGGTATTGTCGTTTTACTATATGAATGATAAAAACTAGCAGCGAGAGGATTAACTGAGTGTGGAACGATTGAAAAGAGTAGAATACATATAGGAAAGTCAAAACAACCATTCCTCTCTGCAAGAATAACCAAAAGCGACCGAAGCTCATGGGGAAAAAAAAACGATACTTCTGGATAACCACTAACTCCAAATTATTAAATAGCAATTTGCTGACCACAATTACTAATTGTTACAGAGTCAGCAGCATTGTTGTTACAAAATAGCAGCATGAAAAACTCCGCTTTCTAAAAGTCAATTGACAGGAAATTTAGATTAAAAAGTTATTTTCGATGTTCTACAATCAGTATGTTCGGAGCATTCTATGCTACTTACCCAGCTACGTGATATTGTCACTATACTATATAAGGAATGAAAACTAACAGCGAGCGCATTAACTGAGTGTGGAGCGATTGAAAAGAGTAGAATCCAGATAAGGAAGTCAAACCAACCATTCAACTGCAAGAATAGCCAAAAGCGACCGAAGCTCATGCACGAACCGTAATTTAAGATAACTACTAGCTCCAAATTGTTAACAGGCTGCTCGTATCAGAATGAAACCCCGAACGTTCCGTCTGCCCTTAGGTCTATGGAGCAGTAATAACATGAAAAAGTTCATTGTATTAAAATGAAATGATTTTTTTTTCTAATTTGAGTTTTTTTTTGTGAAAATCATCAGCCCGACACGCCATATAAAGTACAAAAAGATAAGTTTCGCTCCTAGTAGTTACAAATTACTTATGGCAAATAAGCTTCCTTCAACCATTTTATATCCTGTTAAGCGTTAATAGCGCGAAATATAATGCGCGTTACTTGTCCCGAATTAACCAAGTGGCAATCTTTAAACCTCCATAACTTCACGAAAAATGATCACAGGTGAGTATCTTTTCAAATTTAAGCTCAGGACAACAATTTATTTTGAATGATTTTTAAAAACTTCTTAAAAAATAGCTACTTAAAAAATAAAAATTTGTCTGAAAAACCCACCCCGAGCACAATTATTTCGTTACGAAAGTCGAAACAATTGGCAACTTGTTAACAACAAATATTATTTGTTACTCAGTCAGAAATATGTGTCGTTACAACATTACAGCGTGAAAAAATCTATTTCTGGATTAACAACATGTCATCAACAAATAAAAACTATAGTTCACGATAGCAGACAGTGGCGTGTCTGAGAAATGGTGTAACAGAAACATGCAATAATACAATTCAGGTATCAAGGCTTAGGTGTGCGAGAGACGGTGAACCCACCATCAATGAACACCTGTAACAGCCACGGAAAACTTCAGGAAATTTTTTCTTGAGCACATCAAGATATGCAAATGCTGAAGCAAACTAGTGCTTTTTCCAGTAGCGAAATGAATGGTTACTATCAGATGATTTTTTAAAGCCAGCTAACAATCAGGCAGGAAAAGGCAAGTCGACGTACAGGATTTGAAAGACAAAACAACAAGTCAGCTCTTATTAGTGCAGTAAATTTAAGATGATAATTTTTCTGTGTTTTGATCAAGAAAATTAAAAACCAGAAGTACATTGTAAAGGTGTGACTATATTTAAATTTAATTAAATAGGTAGAAATAGGTAACTACCTATTTAATTGTCTTTTTTCGTCATCCGCCCAGCTAACTCAGTTATTTGAAGAAACCCTCGCTTCGAAGTAGCCACATCTATATATCTACGAAGTTTAATTTTTGGCATTTCTTAGTTATGACTATGCGAAGGAGCGAAATCGTATCTCCGAATGAGCTGAGACGAATCAACTCAAAAGTGATAAAGTTCCTTATGACTCAGTGAAATGGTGAAAGTCCCTTATTGGACAAGTTTTATCGAATACTAAAGAACGTCTAAATGTGACTAAGGAGCGCGTAAAAACTACTTCAGTCGTGATTTCGGCAGGAGAAAATTGCTTACTTTTTGTCTTTCAAAACTGGAATATGAATTTTTTTATCCATTTGATGCTTAACCCCAATTTTCGGTTAAACTGGCTTG